AAAAGAACTCTTCATAAAATCTTCTCACTTCTAATAACATCCAGCTTGTTTATGCTTTCTATTTCTCTCAAAATGAAACCTGAGAACCACTTACAGCCAGTTTTGCTCTTAGCAGTGTATCTTTTTATAAAGACTGTGATGTTCCTGTGTATGAACTGTATCTGTAAAAACATTGTGAGTGTAAAAAGTTATGAGAGGGACATGGTTGTTCTAAAGATACTTATAGCTAGCCCTGTTATCAATTATAATAGACGATGAGCAAGAATTAGTCTGTTTCAACAATAAAAAGTTTAGTGCAGCAACAGACTTATATTAAGAGCAAACGGAAATCATAGGATTAAGTGTTTAAGTCCTTTTCCTCTGAGTTATAGACCTTTCAGGGGTGAATTCCTTGCAGATTTTGCCAGCCTGCTGAGAAGACCTTCTCTCTTCCTTTATACCAGTAGAATAGCCCTGGGGAACAGATCTTAAATCTGAACTCAGTTCACTGGACCTTTAGTAAGACTGAGGAAAGTATACTATGTAAGAAAGTACAATTTGAGCTCAATACTAGTGTGAAGAGTATGCCTGTATAGTTTTAGAGCCTCCCTTGTATTTCTAGCTTAAGTACTTCTTGTTATTAGTAGAGGAATTGGAAATGTCTCTTTCATCTAAGGATTTAAATGAGAGACCACTTGGTTAGGGAATGATATAGCTTGGGAGATGAGGAAGATGATTATATGGAAAATTCTTATAATAGTTTCATTTTCAGTTCTGTGTTGGTGGGGTTTGCAATCATTACTCATACAGAGAGCAGATGACCTGAATGGTGGTTTTTCTGGGCTGAATGACCTGTAATGCCAAAAGATTTCATAAAAGATAGTGTCCTATTTTCACAAGATGCGGCAGGAAGGTCTTTTGTCACTGTCATAGAGGTTATATTCCAAAGGTTGGGTACTTACTTAATTCAGTCTCTCCCTTCCCCCTTTGGAGTTTGGTTTAAATACTTCTGGTGTGAGGAAGCTTCTAGTTGGTTTGGAGAGAAAATATTTGTGTTTCAATTGTCTAGTGCTGTGGTGCCAGAATGAGCTTTTGCTGATTTTAAAATAACATTGCTCATTGAGACTCCAGAAATACTGGGAAACTTTTTTCCCCAGTTTGGATTTGAATGTGTCCTCTGTTGTCCAAAGATGAGCACAAAAATCAACAAATGTCCAGCATTTGCTTTATGTTGGGCAGAGAATGAAAAAATCTAAGACAATCAAATGAGCTTTGCATAGCAAATGATAAAATGTTTTTTATAGTGTCTCCAGAAGTACATCTAATGCTAGTTGCCCATTTTTGGTTAAGGAAGGTATAGTGGGACGGATGTGTCATGAGGGTTTGGATCATGATGATTCGCCTTCAGCTGCGTTGTCACAGTTTTGACAAATAACATGGCTGATGACTGAGTTTCTGTACTGATGTGCAACTGTTTGTTTTCACTTCTGTTTACTTCTGCTTTGCTTTGTTTGTGTATAGACTAAGAGCTCATTGCTTTTGAGCTTAATACTTGCTCGAGCTCTTAGCATAACTTCTCTCCCTTCGAGTATCTTAAGAAGTTCAGGTTGTTGTCTTCTTCACTGGCAGGACTAGTGTGGAAGCATTGAATGAAGGATCTCTAAATGCTGACAGTGCTCAGTTCTGTTACTGTTTTGATTGCCCCAGATGGCATTTTTGGGTGTAGCTTTCAATGTGTGGGCTGATAATACTGCTGATAAGAATAGGCCTGAGGTGATGCAGGTTGAATGGAGAGAGCACTGGAGAGCATACTAAAGAATATGTGATTTCTTTGAGTTTATGTCCTTGAGTAGGCTGCTTTTTGGGGGGTGGTGGTTTATTTTTTTGTGTGGGGTTTTTTTGGGGGGGGGAGGAGGGTGTTGTTTTTACAACTTTTAGCACAGTTTCTTCTAACATTTCTGGTTAAGAGTTGTGACTGTATTTCCTGGCTGATATTGTTATTGTCTTTGCATTCGTTGAAGTTTAAAATTTTGCAATTTTGTGGTATGCAAGGCAAACTCTGTTTTGTTATTGCTCTCTTTTTGCCTTTACATCATCATAGCAAATATAGTCAAAAAAGAAATCTTGGATTTTTCTTTTGTTGTTGTTTTTGTCTTTGTTTCGTTCTAAAGCAACTCATTATGATAGCTGGTCTAAACTATCTGGAGAATCACCCCAAATAACAATTGCATGCAGACATACTTGGCTGCACAGCAAGATCTACATTTAGAAAAGGGTTCTGTCCTATTTTCAGTTAATTTTAATGATCTGGAGTTTTACCTTCATTTAAGAAATCCTAATGAATTTTGGCATCTTTTCCAGGCCTCCCTAATAGATAAATGAATGAGTTCTCTGAATCAGATTTCAGAATCATTTGTGTAAAGGAAGCCCTGCTTACCTTTCAGATAACCTAAGGTATTCTAGTAATTCCTGGTGTGCTCAAAGTTCTGCCTCTGCTTGTTTGGTGTTTACTCTAGCAGGGTCTTGTGGTTAGAAAGGTGAAGTAGGTTGTGGGAGGTTGCTGCCATATAGATGCAACATCTTAAAAAGCAACTGCAATCCCATGTAGATGAGTGTTCTGTTGAAATGCTGGTTTTGATTTTTAAATGAATCTGTGTCAGTCTAAGTTAACAGTTACATTTGAATTTTTTTTTGTTGTGCAGTACTTGATGAGTACAGCAGCAGACTAGGAGTCAGAGCTCCTGTACTTCTCTCTCAGTTCTGCCATGAGCTTCAGTATTGCTTTGAGATGCTTGTCTTTTACCCAGTGTACTGGGAATAATACTACTTTCCTACATTTCCTAGGATCACTGAGGCTAATAGAGTTCTTCTAGGACACCAGATAAAAGGTTCAAAGTTCAGGGTCATGTTAAATAATCATGCAGTTGAAAATGAGTCAAATGTTCACTCAAGTGAAGATGACTAGGCTAGGGAAGGGTAAACTGAAAAAGCTGCAAAAGGAAGGGCTAAGCTATAAATATTGTGTGACTCGTTATTTCCTTGTTTTCTTGTTGATTCTTGAGATTCTGAACTCTTGGCTTATCACTTGACATCTGTAAACCATCAGACACAGCAATGGTGCAAAGTAATGCTACTTTAACATAGTAAGGTTGGCAACAGGGCATGCCTGGATGAGGTACCTGTGTAGGGCACATATCCGCAGAAAGCACTCTTGTAGTTGAAAGATTCTTCCACTTGTTTGTAGCAGACAGTGAATCACACACAGGGTCCACAGTGTTGCTAAATTAAAATCTGGTGTATTGAGAGTTCTGGGAGTTAGCGGTGACAAGTCTGTATCTCATTCGTTGGTAAGGGTACATTCGTGACAGAAAGGTTGATTCAGCAGCTTGGTGCATTTCTTTCCCTCGTGTAATAGAAAATACATCTGTAGACTATTCAGCTTTGTGCATAGAGATGTTTTTAGGCCACAGATCTTTGAGTTAGCTTGTGGGATTTTTCATTTTCACAGTCTTTTAGCAATGCCTGTGTTTACTGAAGCAGTATGAATAAAACAGGGGTGCTCTTTTGTTGAAAAGTCTCATCCCAACCAATTTAGGATTGTTTCTGGAAAACAGACTCCTAATCCCCATAATAATTTTCTTAGCTACTATGCTCCAGATTTATGTTTGAACAGTGTGGCATACAATATGGAAAATACAATTTATCCATGTCATAGATTTGTTAAAGATGAGAATTAAACATTAAAGTTATGTAGCCTAAACTTCTGCACAGCACCGTCTTTGCATTGTATGTGAAGTTGGGTGCTTTCATTAAACTAAAGCGCTGTTCTTTTCAGAAGAAGTAAGACTTAATTTCATAATACAGGTATGAAGTTGGTTCTCTCATGAAGTCAACTGTTAACAGGACTGTTCTCTTCTTGCATCTAGGTATAGGTAGAGACCTTGTGAAGAGGAGAGTTATACTTCAAGGCAAAGAGGCAAATACAAAGTTCCTTAGGTCACAGAGAGGGGGAAGAAAAGTCAAGAGGGTCCTTGCTTTTTGTTTGGAGGCTTATCAGTGCTCTGGTGCAGATGTTTGTTCAGAAATCTAGCTGAGCAAATGAAAAATGCCATGAAAGATGTGGTAAACAAAATTGCATTCTTTCATGATAATTTTCTTCTCTAGGTTTCTCAGGTCATGCTGTGAGGCTTCCTGGGTGTCTCACCTTGAGCTGCTTACCACCTCTATATGTAATGTGTCTAGTTTACCTGTCTTTTTCCTTTCTGTTTTTTGAGAGACTTATTCTCTGTCTTCGGAGGTTTACTTGCCTTCTTTGACTAGCTGAGTAAATACAGGGATCTCTCAGGGATTTACATTTGTCAAAAGATGATAATGCTGTCATGTTTCTGTGCAGTTTTGAGCTTTCTTTCAGGCCAAGTTCCTGTGGCTATGCGATTGATACCATGCATAGTTGCTCAAAGAGAACCTGTTTAGGTTTCTGCTCTCCAGACTCTGATGTTTGTTATGTGGTGTGTACCATCATATTCAAGCCTTCTTTTTCAGGCTTTTCTTGCAGATTATTTCAAAGTATAAATAAGTGGTAATAGGGAGGGAAAGGTTGTGGGAGGTGCTGGTTTCCATACGAAATAAAACTCACAGAAGTGCACAGCTTGTTTGACAGCATTAGAAAATCTAGTGCACTTTGCAGCATGCTTGCTGAGAGCCAAAGACCTTTTGTTCACTGTTTTGGAAAATGTCAGGCCCAGAACTCTGGTCAAAAGACTATTCAGACAAAAAATGATATAAAGCCGCTGCTCAGAAAGTCATAATCTCTCTTCTTATACTAGGGATTTCAGTATTGATATTAGATGACCCGTACTCTCCACTGTCTGAACGATTAAAGGCTTAAGAAATGTGATACTTTGGATTGTATTTTCCTGAGCACTCATTCACATGGAGTAGTTTCTGTAGATTTTTTTCTAATATTTGCCCACAAGTTTGCTCACAAAGTGGGCAAAAGCTTAGATTTTCTTTAAGTAGATTTATTTAGTCTGTGCTTTTTTGTTTCAGGTTTTTTGTTTTTTTTTTTTTCCTTGTCCTCTAAATTTTGAAATCGTTACTGGCGAGTCTGATTATAAACAAGACACTCCCTCATGCTGATGATAAGTTGAAATCTGCCTTGGGACAATTGCCTCTTTCTTAGCATGATGTCGGTGGAAAGCCTGAAAATGCTGCCACACAGCAGCTTGCTTTCTCAGCTAGAAAAGGAATGTTTATTGTTGGTGGCTTATTCGGTCCTTAGCATTATAGAAATTGATTGTGTCGTAATATTCATTCAAATTGCCCTGGCTCTTTGTGGTTATACCCACAGTCAGCAGGGTATCATAGTGTGTTCATAGCTTGAGCATGTCAAGACGTATTTTGCTGAACCTAGGCCTTGATCAGATGGAGAGGTTGCTTCCTGCTTTCCACTGCTGGTTTTTGGTGCATGTTTGTGTCATGCAGAAACAAAAATGAAACAAAGGTATTGGTATTATATACAGGTTTTGGGCTGAGACAGGTGTACGGTTTGTCAAAGAGGTGATTTTGTGTGTCGTGTCCTATTGCCTCAGCCCCAGTCAGAGGATGTGATTACAGTAATAGCAGACAATGTCTGAAAAGAATCTAGCATGAGGATGGTACTTTCTCCTCTCTCAGGAGTTTGCAATCTGTATTAATTTTTTTTTTAAGGCAAACGCCTATTGTGTACTTTTATCAGTTGCGTCTTTATGGGAATAGCATGAAAAGGATCACTGCCATCCTGTCTTTGTCATCACCATTTTGTCTCTGTTTCATGTAATTGCTGATTGTTTTTATAGCAACACACTCCTATATCCTTATGTGAATTTAGTGTCTAATTTATTGAGACAGGACTGTCTTGTATAGTGGATTTTATGAACATGTCCTTTCTCACGTCAAATATTTTAGCATTTAATTGTCATGCGAAAAAAAAAAAAGCTTAAATAACTTTGGGTTTGTTTTCAGGGTTGAACTTTTTTAAAGTGTGTTTCAGGAAAGCTGTTGCTAGACTGAAGGACACAGATTCTCCCACCCTTCTCCCCCAGACTCTCTACCCCTACTAAGCTAATTAAACATGCCTTGTACTAGATGGCAGATGATGCTTTGCAGTATGTATGTACATGCTGTTGGCCTGTTTTACTCGGTCCAGGAAGCTGATACCATGCCTGAAGTCTGATTTGGGCCTTTTGCCCCAAAGCTTTAGCATTATGGCTTCAAAATAAAATTGTGTAAATTCCACATGTTAATCCAGTGTGCTTTTTGCCCTGTGACCCACCTGTCTGTTCTCAATATGACCTTAATCTACCCCATCTTCCCAGAAGGAAACTTGCTCCTTATGTTTCTGTTTTTCTCTTAGAAGTATTCCCTCCAGCTCTGTCATTGCATGACGGGGATAATGTTTGTCATGAACTGCTGTCAGCTGGAATGGAGGAGATCAGGCACTGGTCAGGTTTAAGCAGTCTTCTAAAGATTGACCTGCTGCTCTCGTATGACACTGCAGGGTTTGGCAAATAGCAATGATCATTTTTCTTCTCATGTGTGCATATGTAGATGGCTTGGAATGAGGGGAAGTAGAAATACTAATTTCTGCATAGCTTCTGTATTATGAATCTGATATGTGTATTGTTCATGCCATATTAAATCTGTCTGAAATCTTGTGTATGTTGAGGTTCAAAGTATGAAAACTCATATCTTTTTATGAAGTTCTGAAGAAATAAAACTAATATATCTAAAGGGCTTTAGCAGACAAAATATGTTGAAGTCTGGCTGTGACTGTTTGATATGTCTTCTGTTGCTGTACCTGGTAGAGACTATCATCAGGCCCCTGCTGAAAGATTAGAAGAGAATGTGTGCCTGCAGTTCATGCAATTTATTTTAGAATTTGGCTTTTTAGATTGGTTTTATCTTCAGTGTCAGCTTTGAAACCGAGATTCGGGACCTTTTTGTGATATGATGGAAGTGCAGATATGGGTCCATAGTGGAAGAGAAGCCTTTCTGACAGTACTGTAGTCTAAAGTCTTTTTTTACTACAATATGTTAGCGAGCATTTACATGGTAGCTAAAAATGGATATAAAAAGATACTATTTTTAAGTGGAGCTTTTTGTCTAAGTCTATTGTAGTAAATTTAGCCTTTAAATAAGTTGTCAAATTTAAATAAAATAGCTTTGCTAATAAGTAATGTGAGTACATAGTGCTTGAATATTTTTTTTGCTGAAGTTTTAAAGCACATCAGATCACTGAAATGAGGGAAATTGCTGGGTAAATAATTGGATTCAGTTTGCTGAAGGAGCAGGTCAGCTTGGAACAGATTTTCTTCAGTAGGCATAGATGGAAAATTGTGTGTTCATTTCAGTATAGTTAATGTCAATTATTTTTTTACAAGGAGAAACTGAAAAGGGTTGTTTTCCTCTTACAAAATGTAAAAAAAATGAAATGTGATGCTGAGATCAGCTCGCTGTTGATGTAGTGATGCTGAATCCAGAAAGTCAGCTCAGTTCACTAGCCAAAGGTAATGATTCTTTTTATTAAAAACACCCCAACAAATTTAATTTTCAATGCAAACATGATTAGCAGAAGCATATGAATCCAAAATATCTAGTGTAGTTTTATCAGTAACTTTGTCTAAATCTTGCAAAACTTGGAGTTATATAAGCAGAATTCTAGGTTCCTTTGAAACTAACTTGATACACTTGTGAGTTTGGAAGATAATCCTAAAATGTAATCCTGCAAAATATTGCAGCTTTTTTTTGCTGTACCCATCAACATTGGTGACATTGGAGTTGACTATTGACAGTTGGAACTTCTGTTCTAAGCTGGCTCTTGTAACCGTTCAGGGTACCTTGTGTACTTGCAATGTTCCGTATGCATGTACTTTGTGTCACTTGTGCATATATGATAGCTTGGAGAACATTTGGTCCAGAAAAGGAGAAGGGCTGTTTATCATTCTTAACATCAAATATGAAAATCATTGATTTGAATAAATGTGTTTAAATTATGTAATTGCTTAAATGTGAATGTATTATAGCATTAAAGTTAGCAAAATCAAATACCAAATATGAGGTATAAGGTATATTGCAAATCAACATCAATTTAAGATTATCTCATAGCAAGCTTTCTTTCAGAAAAGGAGTAGAAATGCAAAATCAAATTAAAATTGTATATTAAAATCAAGTTTCCTTGCTTGATGATTTGAGATAGTAACTCTTTGTGGTTACTGTAAATCTTTTTGAATTAACCTGGCCTGTGTATCTGTCCATCTGCAGTAAACTGCTGAGGTGTTTTGACACAAGATATGTTTCACCAAATGTTGATGGATATTGTCAAATATTATCAAACAAAAAGCAGAATGTTGGTTATGGCTTTTCCTGTGGATCCAAAACAGGTTAAGTGTTGAAGCAAGATTGAAATGACAGAAAAACATCAAATGAGCCACACTCAGTGCTGAATAGGATCATGGCACAGACTGGAAGCCATTAATGGTACATTCTTCCCTCTTATTTTGGTGCATTCTTGTCTTTCATTATTAAGGAGGGTGCTCCAGCTCTGTCGCTTGGGGAAGTTTCATGATGCAGCTGAGTTTATCTAGCATCTTTCTGTTTCTGAGAGGTCTCCTTGCACCAAAGTCTTGTGGGTCCTGCCTGCTTCTTTGCTTCAGCGAGTTGATCCAGCTCCCGAAGACCACAGAACACTCCCTGCCTTTTTAATATTTGTTTTCTTATGTTTTAAGAAACTGAGTCTGCCTAAGGAGATGTCAGAACGACATCCAGCAGTGGATAACCAGATCTAGGAAGGCAAATTGGAGTGGGCCACAAGGGCGTGAGATAAAGAAGCATGATGTGAAGTTTGCTTGTGTTGCAGGCCTGTACCTTTAGTTTCGTCATCTGTTATGACAAAACCTGTCTTACAGGGTTGCTAAAAAGACTTCAGTGTGTGCATTCAAGGCATCGTAATTGGTGAGAAAGATTTGTAGAAGCAATCCTGCCTTACTGTATATAAGTATTGAAGGTACTGCTACTTTTGCTATAAAAAATTATTTCTCTAAAGATGTCATAAAGCCATTGGATTACCATTGATAATGGTAATTCTGCCAATCACATATGAGCTTTTCTATTGAGGAATGATGCTGCTCTCTTAGTATTAATAATTTTGTGGGAAGAACAGGGCTTGCTGTTTGAATCATTGAAAGCTGCTATGAGAAACCTGATAGTGTTTCCATTGGGCATACCGATGTAATTATAGAAGCTTCTTTGGAAAACTGATAAAGTGTCAGTTATTTGTAGCTCTTCTTCAGAGCAAATAAAACAATAACGTATGTTGAACAGAGTGGATGACCTGCTTGTATGCTGATTTTCTTTGCAATTGCATGTGGCCTTCCAGGAGATAGGTTTGGGTTTGCATTTAGCCTGATAGAGCTCTGGCTGCTATGGGTACAGTTCTGAGAAGCAGCAATAAAGGACATTTGCTGTCGATCCACAGGAGTTGCTTTGTACTTTGGCTTTGGGCTTTTGCAAGGAGAGCAACAGATCCAGGAATCACAGGACACATTGCATGGGGCATTGTTACGAAACTGTAAGTGCCTTGCTATGCTCTGCTTAAGAATTTTGATAAGTTAAATTGTTGAAGCATTGAGAGGGAATAATCCTGCAACATTTGTAAGGCTCTATATGAGAAACAAACACTGTTTTATTGTAGAACATCCCTGTGTACGTGCTCTCCAGCCCAGTGGGAGACTGACTGCCTAGCAGCAGATATTGTCTGTAATCAGATCCCTGCAGCTCTGCATTGCTCTAGTACATCTGTCTTAGAATCTCAGTGTCTTGCTTGATTTCACTGTTCATATTGCCCTCTGTGAGATGGATTTCTTCATCTGAAGTGAAAATTTGTAAACATGTAAGTGCAAACTAAAGCATGTGAGTTACATTTCTAAAAAGCCACATTACTGGTTTCAGTCAACTGATGTATCAATGTAACTTGTTTTTTGGATGTGAGCTTTAGCTTCTCAAGCTTTAATCAACATAAGACATGAGGTGATAGTATTAGCTCACCAGCCTTTTTTACTTACATCTGTTACAAGACTTCAGAAGGTACTTTGCTTCAGATGATAATTGTAGTTAAGCGGCTAAAAAGAAATCTGATGGATTGGAGCTGGTATTACTTTATGGATATTTTTCCCTGAAGGGGGATGGGGAAATCCATGAACCTTGTTAATACTGTCTCCTACCTACTTGATATCTGGTAGAAATAACAAAAGAGAAAAAATAAATATATGCAAGATAATTAAATGGACCTGATAGGCATAGCAGACAATTCATAGCTGTCTTGCAGTACCGAGGGTAGAATGGATGGAAACAGGAAAGAAGTTTTAGAGAGCTCCTAAGACTTAGTCTATACTTTGATCATTCTTGAGAGCAAGGGGAAGAAAACAAGGTTTGTTAGCATCCCCTTTAAATACCATGTTTGCATGGGACCTTTTGGGGTTTACTTGCTTAAGGACTTCGTGTCCAGTAGGGATGGACAGGAAAGGATGGAGTATTTGTTTTATGGTTTTAGTGGTTATCTATCAGTACAGTGCAGTCTACTCCTGTTCTAAGTGATAGATTTTTGATGGGTTACTGTAGGAGTGACGCTGTGGGGAATACTTGGAAAATACTGACACACTGCACATCTGTCAGGTGCATTAATTTGTGAAATTATTTGTTCCTGTATGATAATCATCTTTGGGGATTTGCTTTTTTCAAGATTACTGTGGTGGAACGTTTATCCATTCACTGTCCGTGTTGCAGTTATTTACAAGTATGTTTAACATGTTTGGAATGATGTATAACATTTCCTTATGCTCTGTTATGTCTTTGCAGTTTTATGCATGCACTGAAATGCTCATGCTGGGAACATTATGAGCTGGTTACTCATCCTTCTCAGAGACAATCCTAGTAGACTTTCCATATTCACTTTGACCAGTGGCACCAGCATTATAGAGCTTCTTGTATGAGAGAAATACTTAAATGTCTTTTCCAACCTGGTTAATTCTACAATTCTACAATACATTACAGTATGGACACAAGGAGAAATAGTAGAGGCAGCAATGCAGCCATTGCTGTGGTGGCCTACCATTACAAGCAAGACAGGATGTGTACGTATAATGTCTTGTTTTATATCTTTTTAGAAAGAGATAGGCTGAGTTCAGGCAAATGTATAATCTCTGGATTACATATGAACTATAACAGATTTTTTAGTTTGTTTGTTTGTTATATATCTTGCATCATTTTAATCAACAGCCCAGTACAGAGCTGGTAGATTGACAATCCAGTGAAATCAGCATCTGTATCGGGTATTATTAGCAGTTTTACAATAACTGAGTAATTAGATTTTCCCATATTTAATTTAGGGGTTTTTATTCTTTTGATAATTAGGAATAGCGTTTTTGTATTCTGATATTTGCGTTCATTGGCTTTGTTTTGTACTGTCATTCAGTAGAGCAGTAAGTGAATATAATAAATCAGTTTAGTTATTGGGGTGGAATTTTCTTAAAATGTCATCGTTGAGTTACTTAATTTCAGATGCTTTGTATCAGCTTTATGAAATACTGTATGTTTTACTTTTTCATTGAAGTAATGTTTGTTTTGTGCATCCATCTAGGGCAGATCAAATGTAATGGCTGTTTCAGGCAGATGCTGCAGTGTTGATTTTGTTGCAATTAGCTAGTATAGATAACAAGAAAGCATATATTTTTCTCCTAGTGAACTCAGGGTATTCTGTGGTCTGTGCATAATAGGCAGTCAATGGAGAGGGCGTTGAGGTGTCATGGCAGCATTAGATACTGAAGTAGTATACTGTCTTACGTTCTTTGAATCTAAAAAGAAACTAGAATATACTGATCCTCTTAAGCTATAGAATTGAAATCCTGAAAAAGATGTTTTCATGTGTTTGTTTTAATAGACTTATGTAAGCTCAAGGGGACCACTGACGCTGCAAGATTACAATGTTACCTTGCCAAGCTGCTTACCAGGAAAAGCAGCTGAATTTTCCTTGAGCAGTTTGCAAGCAGACTTTTTGAACACAGAAGAACCTTCAGTACAGATATTGAGTTTTATAACGGGAATCATCAGGGTGGATTACAAGTTACCCGTTTTTTTCATTGTGGGTTTTTTGTAGGTATGGGGTTTTTTTGGTTTTATTTTTTTCCCCTTCTAAATTGTTCCACTTTTTCACCCCTTCATGTAGACATACAGAAAAGTGGCACTCACTATATAAATATTGGGCTTTTATATAGCTTTGGAGGTACTTTGTGAAGTACTTACTGAATAAAAAAAATGATTGTACTAAACCAAGTTTGTCTAACTGTATAGTAATTCTAGGCACAGAGGGAAAAAAGTGACTGTGTGTAACATAGCTTTAAAATTTTAGGTCAAAAGTATTTATTAAATTATCTCAAACTGCTTTTATCTTTTTAATGTTACTTTTGGCTGGAATCTGCAGACATGATGGAATCCTAAGGAATTTAGAGTCGTGTTCAAAAAAGAAGGCATCCTATGCATGAGCAAAGCATGAGTGCCGCAGGAGTATGACCTATATTTGTCAGATTTAGCAGAAGAAACCTGCTAAATACCACCTCATCTACTAAATGCAGTCATATTCCTTTCCAAATCCAAGTTTTCAAAATAAAGTAGAAAATACATGAAGCTGACATTCTTCAGTCAAGTCAGTCTTTCTCTGGCTGTTTTGAAAAGTTTCCCATCTTCATCTGGAGATCCTTATTCTCCTTGGGAAAGGCAGTAAGGTGAAACTTGGCAATGGCAAAGAAGAAAATCCGAAGAATGATAGTGGGGATTTTTTTTCTTGGTTAATCATGGATAACTTTAGCTTTGTGTGTATGTGAATGCATTAGCTTTATGTGAGTATTTATCTGAAAGGTATAGATTTAACTGTGATAATGTTTCTCAGATTCTGAATCTGAGCTTTACCAACAAAAAAAAAAAAAAAAAGAAAATCTTATAAGTACAGGTTAGGTAAAGATGCATTTAAGGAGTCATTGAGAGCTTTGTGTTGAGGAAGAGAAGTAATTTGTTCCAAGAAGTTTGAGTTACTTCATTTATACAGCTTCATGAGAGAAAAAGGTAATAAAATCAGTGACAGGGCTAGCTGGGAAGTAATGAGAATATTACTTTAAAAAACCCAATATGCAAATTTACAACATTTGTTTACTTTCTTGGTGAAATCTGGATGTTCAATGGAAGACCATTTGCATAACTTCATAGGGATTATAATAAGAAGCAAGCACTGTCTGCTAGTCATGCAGAGTTAAATGAATTACACAAAATCTGGCTGTCTTGAGAAGTTGCCATGTTAAGAAATAGATGTATTAATACAATATAAAAAGATCAAATTTTATATTTAAAATGATACCTTTCAAAGGCTTGCTCTTTGAAGATTGGGAAGAATTGGCATCTCAACTAATTTTTAGTTAATTATAGAAATGAAT